GAAATTCTTTAATTATAAACTTATCTACTATGAAAACAGGAAATAAAATTTACAATCAATCTTCATGGAATATTTAAAAGGACAGGCAGATGGCCAAGGCAGTTAAGGCATCCGAGTGGGAACTATCCAGAAATCTGATACGTTGGGCCTCATCTCTCACCACTCGGTGGTGAGGGATGAGGTCTAACAGGGCCTTTTTAATCATACTCATTACGTGTTCAGTGAGAGACGGTGCCCGACATATCCGGAACAGATCGCTCGTGTAAAATTCCTGAAACGTGCAATTATTTAAAGTAATTGAATTTTGAAATCTACGAACGAAGCCATTTACAATATTAAAATTATCCGAAATTCAGAAAATTAGATTCTTTAATTGGGGTGGAATAAGGCAATTGGTTTGGCTTGGCTTGGCTTGATTTATTGACATAAGGCAACGCGACACATGGGCGATCTGCCGAGAGGAATGTCTTCCGGGAGGTCTTCTATGGGAAACTGACCCCTATTTAGATGTTACTAAAGTGAAGAAAACCAGGAAAACTCCACTGGCCAGACCGTTGGCGGAATGCGAATCCAGGAACAGTGTTCAGTGGTTTTATTCACTCGGCCACTGATGGGCGAATAAGATAATTACACAATCCATTGACGATGTGTCAAGGAGAGTTACTTCCCAGAAGAACCCCGTCTACGAAAAACTGACCCTATTTATGTGTTAGATACGTGAAAAAACCTAAAAAACTTTACGTTGGTGAGGCGCGAACCCGCGACCAACTATGGATAGTAATTTGCAAAGGATCAGCAATATTGGTACTCCTTGTGGATACCATATTTACAAGATAGAACGTAGCGAAGATTACGCATCACCTAAATAAAAAAAATGCTAATGCTAATCACTAATATTAATAACACTTTATTTAAAATACAGAAATACGTTAATGTAAATTTTATTATCACTTTTTGTGTATAATTAATAACAATTCAATAGTTGTATAATATACTGAAATACTAATAAATAAGTAAACATTTTATAAATTTAATAATTGAAATGGTTATTCCATTAAATTTATTCATTCGGAAAATGTAATTTGAGAGAATTCAGAAAAAAAATTTTAAGATAACACGAATTGATCCTCTCTGATTTGCTACTAAGAAACTTATATCTTTCTCCATTAATATATCTTTACTTCTATAAATTTTCCAGATATTTATTTTGACAGTTGGATTTTCTACGTCAAAAACAAAACAACAGGGAGGAAAAAAATCTAGAAAATAAGTGAATCGATCTGGCATCACCTGTCGATGTTTTCGATGAAATTTGTCAGATGCTCTTTGTTTTCTCGTTAAAATTATTTAAAAAGTAGATAAATTTCGCGTATAAAATACAAATATATATAAATATATATAAAACTGATGAACTACAATTTCCTTTTTTTAAAAATTTATATACTTTCTCAGTATAAAACCAGTAAACTGATCGATACGTTAAGGAAATTTTCAAACTTTTCTGTATATAAAAATATTTTTAGTATAAAATAAAATTGTTTTTTTTATATTATTTTAATTGATAAAGAGCTAAACGTTATCAGTTTCGGCATCGCCATTTTTGTTTCCACATGATAATTTCCTATTACGTCATTACTACGTCAAAGTAATCTCGTAAAAAGCGTTACTTTCATTCGTTCTTAAAAAGTAGAACGTTACAGACAGACAATTACAAAATAATATACAGTATAATAATTTTTTATTATTATTATTTTAGGTATAAAACAGGAAAATATTAAATTTCAAATTTTTTTCCTCGCTTCTTAAACAGGAAAAATCAAATTAATATAATTTTATTTATTTTTTTTTTCAAATTTCCTTCTTTGAAGTGTGTTTCTGGTCATTTTTCTTCCTGGAATTCCCATTGTAATTACATTCATTTAACTCTTGCCTTACTACATGTAGACGAAACAAGCGTGAATTTTTGGTTACGTCACATTGTGTAACACTATTTACAATTATAAAAGGGTGGCAGAACTATGGTTTCACCACTCAATTTTCGTGTTTAATTTAAACTATCGACGTCAGATGGCACTAAGCTATGTATAAAAATAAATTCGACAACGTCCTTGGAAAAGTTGTTTCATCGGCAATGTTGCGAAGAGAAAGGTGAGTTTATCTCATTTTTACATACAATTATTCTTTTATTTATCAAATTTTACATATTTTAGTTAATAATTCTTCATTTTTTTAAACAAAATTCTTATCTAATTTACGCTCTGTAATTTCCTTAAGTATTGGTGCGTGCTATACGTGATCATCACTTCCTCGGGCTATTTTCTGTAACTTAATTTAGGATAAACGCTTTTCTTATGCTATTTATTCCATCCTTAAGTGCTATAGAATAGACACTACGATATAATTTCATATAGGAAACATATAATCATGATGTATATCTTGAAGTGTCCTCATTAATAAAGGGTTACATACAAGTTATATATGAATATCATTATTAATCATATATTACCGTGATAATTTAAATTCTAATTAAGCAATTAATATATTATTATTATATTTTGAATGTCACATTCTGTAATTTAACTGACACTCTGGAAAAATTTTCAGGTGTAACACGTTTTTGTGATACTGTGTTAATTATATGGTAAAGTTTTTATAAGTATAATTTTCCTGTTAATAGATTTATTTAATATTTAAGAAAATATCTTATTATTTTTATTTAAAATCAGCTTGGTATTTAAATAAATTTTAATAATATCGAAGTTTATAAACAATCCTTTGAACACTACCTTAATATGACACATGAAAATCGCGTGCAACGTAATACTTATACTTTATATATAAATAGATATATAAATATCTCAATTATTATTTTAAATATTTAAACCATGAATTTTTTAAATAAAATTCAAAAAATTTTGTTTATAACGAGCTCTATATTACAAAAAAGCGACTTCATCCCACGTGATCTGTAGTGTGACGTCGACTACAAAATCTTAATTATTTAAATTTAAAATTATAATTCAATTTAAATAAAATTCCCATTTTATTCTAAACTATTTAAAAGCTTGTATTAATGATTTCACTCGGTATTTTCCGTAGAAAAAGGAAGTTGAAAGTACACGTGAGGACCGGTGATAGGAAGGGTGCAGGAACAGATTCGAATGTTTATCTTTCAATAAAAGATAAAATCGGTAACAGGAGCGAAGAATTCAAATTAGATCATTGGTGGAGGAACGATTTAGAAAGGGGCACAACTGACAGCTTCGATATAAACGTTGACATTAACTTCGGCATCGTAAATCAAATAGAATTACACAGGGACACATCTGGAATCGGCGATGCCTGGTATTTGGATATAATTATCATCGAAGACAAAGATCGTATTGCGACGTTCCCTGTACACAGATGGATACACCCGTACAGAAAATACTGTATAAACGAATACGACAGTGTCCTTCCTCAATTCGACAGCAACAAATGCCAAAGATCCAAAGAATTAACGAGCAAAAGACAGATTTATCAATATACCACTCATATCAAAGACGGACCCGCACAGGTTAGTTTCTGTTTTTCTATCTTTCAAAACTATAAACTGGATACAAAAGTATTAAAATATATATATTTTTTTAATTTATATACAGGATGGTCGGTAAGTCAGTTAACCGATATAAGTTAAAACCAACTTAGTACAGCTTCGAAATTATATTTACAGGTTAACTGACTTTTGGGCCACCCTATATTATTTGTATACGGGATGGCCAATGTATGCTTATATATACAGTCGACCCCCCTATAATTACGGTCCTATAATTACGATTCCTATAAAACTACGAAAAAATATATGTATTTTGGAAATGTTGAGTCGGATTAGTGTAGAATCAATTAATTTTATGGAAGAAAACCTTTCAATCAGCCGTAGTCCGTAAACTTGACACGTGTCGGGCTGTGATTGGAACGACTTGTAAGAAATCGGATTCCTAATAAATTGGAACGTATCTCTATCTTATAGGGGGGTCGACTGTATATNTGGGGGGGTAGGAACTGTGTCGGCATATTTCGCTTCCTGCACATCTTCTGATCGATTTTTAGTGAAGATAATTGATAGTATGTGTATCAGTGAGTTAACAGTAATTTAATATGGAAGAAAGTATATGCGCAATGATATAGATAGATGCAACACGGTCATGCAGAAGCGAATAGCAAAGTAGTACGTGCTATCCTCACTCGTTGGGTAGAACAGACGTCCTTCAGTAACTAACTATCCAGCCAGGCTTCAACATGAGCTACTACCAGGGCGATGCTGTACCTTAGATGTAACCTATGTGCTAAATATGGCATACGTAAATAAACTCCTCCAACTATTCTTCACTTTATTAGTATTGGGTTCGGTGCATTGTAGCAACAGTAAGCAATTCTTAGAGAGTTTACTCAGGCAAAACAATAATAATTTAGTGTTGACCGTGTCTACAAACAATACTACAAAGGTGAGTCAAATGTTATAATAATTTATAAGTAAATTTAACGCAATTTTAGTGTTTATTAAACAGGTAAAAACTCGCGTGTTTAATTAACACGAGAGAAAGTTCGTGCTAACATATTGAAGGGTCATTCGAGGGTTTTTCCATTTTTCAAGCTCGTCATCGACTGACTTAAGTGAGGAAAGTGGGACAGAGCGAGACATTTCCAGTCTGGCAGAGACAGCATGACTCTTCTAAGGATAATCTGCCAATTTGCCAACCCCTCCTAACATGGCAACACTTTCGAGTGTCAAGGGTGATTACTTCATAAATGATATTTTATTCGCGTCGATTTATATCCATGCATGCGAAATTTTATTTAAATTAGAAAAAAAAAAGAAAACATTGCTCTATCTTAAGAGCGAAAGATATTTTAATTCTAATTTAATAATAATAATAATAATAATTAATTAGAATAAATCAATTAAATTTTTTTCTAGAAAATTTCATTGTAATTAATTATTTTAATTAATTAATTTTTTTAATTTTTAGTCCGACATGCTATTTAATAAAGTTAAATTACAAATTTCAAGTTCGTTAACTCATTTAACAACAGGAAGATGGAAATCCCTCAACGATTTGAAAAATGTTTATAAATTCAATTTGGAAGAACCTCATGTAAAGAAATTTTAATTTATTTATTATTCGTTTGTATCATATTAAATAATTTTAAAATTATTATTAATTTAATTGTAGAGCCTTCAATGGTGGACTGAAGATTATTGGTTTGGTTTGCAAAAAATTCAAGGCACAAATCCAGTTTTAATAAAGCTTTGTAAAAACATTCCAGACAAGTAAGATTATTTTATTACAATTATAAAATTGCTAATTAATTTGTTTTAATTATATTAATTATTGTGACTTCAAAGGATCTGCAATGAGGGCCCATAGTTGAGGCTCCACCGTGGATCCTTACGAGATGTTATGGGCGTTGATTTCAATTTTATAGTAAGGGTGTTAGCACCCATTTCGGCAATCACTGCTTTAAACTATAGTTGGCATTTATTGAAGTGCTAGCACATCCTGTACTCGACATTTGTTCAGAATTTCTCTGGTTTTTCTAGCCACTTCTTGAAATGCTAACCTGATTTCTGCAGATGTTAAAACGAGTGCATATTTCGGCATCTGTCTAATGATTTCATGTAATATCTAATGGCTTATTAGCACGTGGTGTAATCCAAAACAGGTGAATGTTTTCCACACGTCTATATGTTGAATGTGAATTATTTGATGAAAATACACCAATATATAGCAATCATATCAAGATAATTGCTTTTTGTTAATATGATAATACAGCAAGATATAATGGCTATACGGACTGTGTGCCAGAAGAATGTGTCGGCCGGATGACTAAGAATCATTCTACCGCTCGGGGGAATCCTGGATTGAATCCAATCGTGCACCTCCCTGGGAATTTTCCGGTATCCAGAAATCCGCGTATAACAACATACAGAAATGCAAAAACATTCGCCGTTTTTTTATTATGCCATATGCTAATGAGTCTTTAGGCATTACATGAAATGCCTAGCTTCATTAAACATATGCTGAAATGTCCATCCGTTTCATCATAGGCAGAAACGGGTGGACATTTCAAGAAGTGAGTAGAGACGAGACCATGTGGTGAATTAACTTCTCCACAACTTCCTTCAAATGTTTTTCTATATAAGCATTCCGCTTCAGGATCATGCTTCAAGATTTCGGCATTCTATCAGATTCCTATCTGATGGAATGCCGAAATCTCAAAAAGAAAATGGGAAACATATACAGTAGACCTATATGCATATATGAACGGAGTGGAAAAACTGTCTGAAGATCAGTTTCCTGATACTGATTTCTATATAAAGTGCATGAGTTTGTAGAGGAAAACGAATTATAGGAGTTATATTTGCAAATATTGTAACAGAAATTCTTACAATACTATCAGTACTTTATTATTATTATTATTATTTTGCCAATCCATCCAGCTAGTAAAAGTTTCTGGGGAAAACAGAAAATAATATATTATTGACTATGCAAAATTTCTTAAATAAATCTTTCATTATGAATACAAATATTTTAAAATAATGTATGATTTTTTTAAAATATAATTTAAAGCTTTGAAATTGAACCGTCAATGGTTGAGCCATTTTTGGAAGGTCTAAGTTTGAATGATGCTCTCGAAGAAAATCGTATATTTATCATCGATTTGGAAGTTTTACAGAACATATACACTGTGGAAAATACAGTGGTAAGTTTAAAAACATAAATATGTAAAAACGTAAAATATGTTTTTATTTTAGTTTTTAACTTAATAAACTTTTTTCCTAGTTGTGTTCACCTCTGGCTCTATTTTATTTGAATAATTCAGGAAATCTGATGCCAATTGCTATTCAATTATTTCAAGAGAAAGGACCAGATAATCCTGTAAATATTTTGAATTTTTCATTTTTTTTATACGTTTTTGCATCAGTTATATAACACATGCGACGAAATAAGCGCGAATATTTACGCCGCATCGTCAATTAAGCATGAGTAAACTAAAAATTTGGAATATGAAAACGAACAATGACGTAAAATAAATTAAAGAAAACATATTTGATCAGTCTCTGTTTAACAAAATCAAATCTCCACGGTCTGCTGCCTTTCGAACTTGTTTTCACACGTTCCGAAAGGTTCTCAGTCATAACTGGCCTCCCAGATGCTAATACACTTTGCTTTATATCTCAGCCATACTTTCCGCTTTAACTGATGCCAAAACCGTAAGATTATTCTCGATTGGGTACATTAGGCACATCGTTTTCATGAAGAATGTACCGTATCTCGTGTTGGTCAAAGGCAGGATTTCTCTCTCGAGAATAGTGGAAAGTTCTTCAAGAATGTGACTAGCCTCTTCTTAATGAACTCGGTACTATACATTCTTATTCGTATGTTAATAAAAAGTTTACATGGTGAAGACCCGAGACCACACGCGTGGAGTTTGGTTATCCAAGCCAAAACTTTCGTCAGAAACTTTGCGTGACGTTTGAACTGACAGAACTTCCTTTTCTTTTTTCATAGTGACATTTATTTCCAGTACATTCGGAACCACCCAATGTAAAAACGAGATTCGTCGTCCGTAACATTCAGGTTGTTTTTGCGCCGCAGATCTCCTTTGTTCATTCGTTGGCGTAACCTTGTTTGTTTTCCTGCTTCGCAATGTATTCGCGTGCAGAATTATTTTCATAATGATAATATTTCTTTTATTATTATTTTGAACTTTTGACCTAGCTTACCGAGAGACTAGTCTACCTTACCAACAGTGGCATCAACAGCTGCTAACCAACACTTCAGTCAATTCAACTCTTTTTCTTTTACTTCCTTCAGCTCTAAATGACATTTTCTTCTTTTCATCTCTCTTAATTGTCATATGTCGTGCTCTATAATGCGTTTAAAACGTTTTACATTGAAAAATTTACCTTTCATCAGATTTCTAGTATAAAAATTCCAATGATTTTTGTACGTTCGCCTTGTTTAGGCCTTCCATTTATAAAAATCGAGTGATTTTCAAAGAACATTCGAAACTGAATAAGCAACTGCGCGTTTAATTCCTTTCTTCACGCGAATTGTACAGGAGGTAAAATGTTATTCCAAATTTTTAGTGTTTTTTTTTATTTTAAATAATTTACCTTTTACACAAATACTTAAATTCTAATACAACTGTGTAAGCCATTGGTACTTTTATTTTTAGAAATTTACACACGGGACACGCGCCAAAATCAACGATAGTGTGCGCTTGTGTTATACAAATATGTAAATTTTTTCTAGTAAAAGAACTTTAATAATATAATATTCTAAAATTAATGTTATCGACGTATTTTCTAAGCTTTTCTCATATATAAATATCGTTAAAAAATGCATTTAAAATATTATTTTTAGGTATTTTTGCCTTCAGATCCTCCTTACACTTGGTTACTAGCAAAACTCTATTTTAATAACGCAGATGCTATATTTCATCAATCGTGTACACATTTAGGTAAGATTTATTATTATATTATATTAAATTACAGGAATTTATAAACAGATATTTGTATATAATGTCAGATATAATACCATTGAACTTGTAACGAAGAGAATATAAAATATTGTTTTATTATACTATCCACGTCACAGAACTTGACACTCCTATTGACATTTTAATCACATGATTTTCTATTTAAATTCTAGAATTAAATATAAATTTGTTTACGTCATTACATTATTGTATTATTTTTATTTTGGCATGTGGGGTGCGCGTACAATCGCTACGCGCGTCGTCGCGATTAATTTAAATCTAAAATTAATTACGCATTTATTAACAACTTGATGACAGAATTAACAGCAGTTTTTTTTTAGTTTAATTATAATTAAATCAAAGGCATTGTATTAAAATTTACATAGATATGAAGTTAACTTTCAATTGAATCAGGTCATGTAATGTTGTTGAACTCTGAATGAATAGCTACAAATCTAGTTTAAATTTTTGTTTTATAGAATAAAGGTAACAGAGATTCATTCTTAGTTTAAAAAATAACTGTATTAAAATTTACATAGATATGAAGTTAACTTTCAATTGAATCAGGTCATGTAATGTTGTTGAACTCTGAATGAATAGTTTAAATTCTAGTTTAAATTTAAACAAATCTAGTTTAAATTTTTGTTTTATAGAATAAAGGTAACAGAGATTCATTCTTAGTTTAAAAAATAACTGTAGAAGAAATTTTACAGAATTAAAAAAATTATTTTTTTATTCCAGGTATTACTTAAAACAAATGGCATTTTAATATATAGAATTAATAGTGTTATGGAGAAATTATTTTAGTAAATTAATTTCTCCATAACACTATTAGTGTGTAAGAACAGATGTTTTCTATATGAATCCTAAGAGAAACTGAATATGCAGCTTGAGTCAACAAAAACCATAAAATAAACAATCATCACACCTATAAATCTGCTTTATTATTGGAATGTGTGAATATTAAACAAGGAGTTTCCTTTCTTCCTGTTAGAATGTTGTAATTTCGCACTCTTGTTTCGAAACTACAAGGTAACCTAACACAGATGGCATTGATTCAATACAGGCTTCCTGTTTAAAACAGAAAAAAAAAGAGCCCACATTTATGCCTAGAGGCAGGAAATGACGTAACGATATTTCTGAGTAAAATATTTTAGGAGTGAATCTGGAGAAAACCCACAAAACCTTTAAAAATTGACTAATTCTCCTATACAAGCTCTAGATGACCCTGTGTGAGACATAAGGTATATAGCATAGGCGTAAGGCCCTGTTTGGAGAAATAAATTAATAACTAACAAGTGAATAGTTCATGGACAGAAGATAGTGAGATTGAATGTTAAATTTCATTATTATAGTTGACCTTGGAACTTGCACCTCTTCATACTTCAAAACATAATATTGGTTTACACATACCAATCATGGTTTAAAATATTAATTATCCTTAAAACACAATTTTTATATAACGTAAAAAACTAAAAATATTTTATAAAGAATTTATTTTTATGGGTTTTTTTTAAATATACTTATCAATGTTAATTAAGAAATTTCTCTTGAATTACATTATTATAATTCCATATTTTTAATATCTAGACATACATATAAATATTTTTATGGGGGAATAAAAATTGATAATGAATTTTCACTTAAGGTTTAACTCATTTGTTGATGGAAGGCGTGGTTATTTGTACGCACCGTCATTTGTCACCATCTCATCCACTTTTCAGATTAATGTCACCTCATTTTCTTTATTTGTTGGCGATCAATTCGTGAGTACATTTTGATTTCACTTTAATTGTTCTTTCTCATTTATTTTATTGAATCTGCCGAAATAAATTCGATTTTATAAACATTCTATTTTTCAATTTATTTCATAACAAGTCAACTGTATTATTAAATGAGTTGTTTAATGAGTTAAACTGATAATTGCGAATATTTTAAATAGTTTATAATTAAATTAATATAATATTTTATTTAGTTATTTTNATTAATATAATTTTATTTATTTTTTTTTTCAAATTTCCTTCTTTGAAGTGTGTTTCTGGTCATTTTTCTTCCTGGAATTCCCATTGTAATTACATTCATTTAACTCTTGCCTTACTACATGTAGACGAAACAGGCGTGAATTTTTGGTTACGTCACATTGTGTAACACTATTTACAATTATAAAAGGGTGGCAGAACTATGGTTTCACCACTCAATTTTCGTGTTTAATTTAAACTATCGACGTCAGATGGCACTAAGCTATGTATAAAAATAAATTCGACAACGTCCTTGGAAAAGTTGTTTCATCGGCAATGTTGCGAAGAGAAAGGTGAGTTTATCTCATTTTTACATACAATTATTCTTTTATTTATCAAATTTTACATATTTTAGTTAATAATTCTTCATTTTTTTAAACAAAATTCTTATCTAATTTACGCTCTGTAATTTCCTTAAGTATTGGTGCGTGCTATACGTGATCATCACTTCCTCGGGCTATTTTCTGTAACTTAATTTAGGATAAACGCTTTTCTTATGCTATTTATTCCATCCTTAAGTGCTATAGAATAGACACTACGATATAATTTCATATAGGAAACATATAATCATGATGTATATCTTGAAGTGTCCTCATTAATAAAGGGTTACATACAAGTTATATATGAATATCATTATTAAACATATATTACCGTGATAATTTAAATTCTAATTAAGCAATTAATATATTATTATTATATTTTGAATGTCACATTCTGTAATTTAACTGACACTCTGGAAAAATTTTCAGGTGTAACACGTTTTTGTGATACTGTGTTAATTATATGGTAAAGTTTTTATAAGTATAATTTTCCTGTTAATAGATTTATTTAATATTTAAGAAAATATCTTATTATTTTTATTTAAAATCAGCTTGGTATTTAAATAAATTTTAATAATATCGAAGTTTATAAACAATCCTTTGAACACTACCTTAATATGACACATGAAAATCGCGTGCAACGTAATACTTATACTTTATATATAAATAGATATATAAATATCTCAATTATTATTTTAAATATTTAAACCATGAATTTTTTAAATAAAATTCAAAAAATTTTGTTTATAACGAGCTCTATATTACAAAAAAGCGACTTCATCCCACGTGATCTGTAGTGTGACGTCGACTACAAAATCTTAATTATTTAAATTTAAAATTATAATTCAATTTAAATAAAATTCCCATTTTATTCTAAACTATTTAAAAGCTTGTATTAATGATTTCACTCGGTATTTTCCGTAGAAAAAGGAAGTTGAAAGTACACGTGAGGACCGGTGATAGGAAGGGTGCAGGAACAGATTCGAATGTTTATCTTTCAATAAAAGATAAAATCGGTAACAGGAGCGAAGAATTCAAATTAGATCATTGGTGGAGGAACGATTTAGAAAGGGGCACAACTGACAGCTTCGATATAAACGTTGACATTAACTTCGGCATCGTAAATCAAATAGAATTACACAGGGACACATCTGGAATCGGCGATGCCTGGTATTTGGATATAATTATCATCGAAGACAAAGATCGTATTGCGACGTTCCCTGTACACAGATGGATACACCCGTACAGAAAATACTGTATAAACGAATACGACAGTGTCCTTCCTCAATTCGACAGCAACAAATGCCAAAGATCCAAAGAATTAACGAGCAAAAGACAGATTTATCAATATACCACTCATATCAAAGACGGACCCGCACAGGTTAGTTTCTGTTTTTCTATCTTTCAAAACTATAAACTGGATACAAAAGTATTAAAATATATATATTTTTTTAATTTATATACAGGATGGTCGGTAAGTCAGTTAACCGATATAAGTTAAAACCAACTTAGTACAGCTTCGAAATTATATTTACAGGTTAACTGACTTTTGGGCCACCCTATATTATTTGTATACGGGATGGCCAATGTATGCTTATATATACAGTCGACCCCCCTATAATTACGGTCCTATAATTACGATTCCTATAAAACTACGAAAAAATATATGTATTTTGGAAATGTTGAGTCGGATTAGTGTAGAATCAATTAATTTTATGGAAGAAAACCTTTCAATCAGCCGTAGTCCGTAAACTTGACACGTGTCGGGCTGTGATTGGAACGACTTGTAAGAAATCGGATTCCTAATAAATTGGAACGTATCTCTATCTTATAGGGGGGTCGACTGTATAT